TTTGAGTTGGCCAATTAATTCGTTTCTATTTACTAGTAGACGACGGGGTTCCGCCTTGCTCAGGCTGTCTCAAACTCCTGACCCTCGAGGCCGATCCTCTCCGCCTCGCGCCTCCAGAGTGCTAGGATCACAGGCGTCGAGCCACCTCGCCTGCCGTCTTGAAGTTCACTATGGCAGAAAGTAGCACGATACCTCCCGCACCTTCCTCAGAAGGACACAGGCCTGGATGTCCCCGGGGGCCGAGTGTGCTGGTCCCCAACCCATCACCATCTCTATTCCCACAAATCTTGGCCGACTTTTGCAAGCAGTGGAATAGCCGGGTCCAGGGTTGTGTACATTTATGCATTTTTATTTCTGACAGCTGTTGCTCAAATTGTGCCAGGGAGGCTTTTTTTTTTTTTTGGGGGGACTAGCGTTAGAGGGTGGAAAAGAAAGAAGAAGCAAATGTCCCCAAATCTAGGACACAAGATAAAAGAAGGCACAGTGACTGCCTTTCTCAGTCTGACCTGCAGGGGGCAGCAAGGGACTGCCTAATTCTTGGGCCTCAGGAGCAACTTTTGAGCCAGTCGCTCAGCCGGGGCGACGACCCTCACCCCCAGCCAGATGGGACCTTCCCGGCACGAGCACTGTGCAGAGAGGGACGGGACAGACTCAGCTGGGGACACCCTTCTCCGCCCAGCACCAGCAGCCTGCCGGAGGTTAAGCGCTGAGAGGCTTTGGAGCTCCTCTCTGGCAACTCTACAGCTGTGTGCCCTGGAGCAGGTGGCTTGACCTCTCTGAGCCTCCTTTTCCTCTTTTATAAAATAGGGCTGGCCGGGGCGCGGCGGCTCACGCCTGTCATCCCGGCACTCTGGAGGCCGAGGGGCGGATCGCTCGACGTCAGGATTCCGAGAACCCAGCCTGAGCAAGAGAAGACCCACCGTCTCCTACTATAAATGACAAGAAATTAATGGCCACTAAAGAATAAATACTACAGAAAATTAGCGGGCCATGGTGCGCACGCCTGTAGTCCCAGCTAGCTCGGGAGGCCTGAGGCAGGAGGATCCTTGAACGCCCAGGAGTCTGAGGTTGCTGTGGAGCGAGGCTGACGCACGGCACTCACTCTAGCCTGGGCACAGAGCGAGCTCCTGTCTCAAAAAAATAAAAAAATAAATAAAATAGGGCTGATGGTGGTGGTAACAGAAACAGCAGCAGCAGTTGCTACTCTATTATATGGGTTTATGGGAATCATCTTATTGCGCCACGGAGCCGCCTACCTATGGGAAACGAGGCCACAACTGTAACTCGGCATCCTACCGTGAGGCAATGCCTTTGCTTTGGCGTGCCATGCGAGCCACCCTGTTGTAAGGCCCACCATTATTTTATGAACCTCTGAGGCAGTGTTTCTCAACCCTTTTTTTTTTTTTTGCCGTGATCAGTCCCTAGAGGGAACATTTCATTAAATGGAGAGAAAGTCAGATGCTGATGCATGAGATTTTGGCAGGGAGGGTTGAGTGTTGGAGAGGCAGACCTTATGAACGTAGCAGGGACTTTTCGTCCTCCCACCTCCCCCCCCACAACCACTTTTGCAATTCGCCACCAACAGGCAATTTCTCCTGTTTTAATTTTTATTTTTGGACACGAGTCTCGGCTCTGCTCGCCAGCGCTAGA